TTAGAATTAGGGTTGTTTCAACGGGTTATACTGTTGTTACGATAACCTTTTGCATCACGAAGAAAGCTTCAACTTCTTCATGAACAATTGGACACTTGTTTGATCCCATTATTGTAGCATCAAATGTAAACGAGGGTTAGCTTTGATGATCAAGTTCTGAAAAATGCGGTAAACCGTTATCAGTCATCTTAAAAGAACATGATTTGCCACAGCCATTTTTCGCATTCGGTATAGTTCTGCTACGCTCAATAATTTCTTCACTTGTCTTTCAAATTGAAGTTCCGGCTTTAGTTGTGTACAACAAGCAGGATCACGGCACAACAGCTTGGAATAAAACAGCTCGAGGAACTAAAAAGGTGCTAATTCTCAGCGTATTCAAACCTCCATACAACTGTCTGAACTCCTTGTTAAGCCTTTACGCCTTTCCGATGTGAGAGTAATAATGCAATGCTTCGAGTAGACATCAAGTGCATCATATTTCTCTTAGTCACTCTCGACTTGCGGAGAATCTTCAAATCAAGCCAACAATTCGAATGCTCTAAGTTGATAGAACAGTGTGAAGGTAATGAATGCGTTAAATAAAAAGCCACCTCATGACGTAAACCATCTCGTAAAATCTGTCTTCTGCCCTCGGCTCGATTAGATGCAAAAGACCAGTTATGACAGATTCATAGCATTAGCATACAAGACAATTTAACCTAACAGATTGCTACTTGTACCCTGAGGGTTCTTAAACAATAGCGTCTTAGTTTTACGTAGCAGCAAATAGCGCTAATAGACTAAACGGCTGAAAAACTGAACGGCTAAAAGACTGAACGGCTAAAAGGCTGAACAACCCTGACCACAGAGGGCTGTAAGTAAATGCATTGGACTGGATTTACAAGCAACTTGATAGCCCTCATTAAATAACCAATGATTTGTTCAGCTGGAATTTCGTATTCCTTTTGAGAAGTCTAAGAAGCATGTGAAGTATGATTAAAGTATTCAACTGTGCGTATCGCTTAAACCAATTTTGAACTCCAATAATTGGTTCCAGGTTGTGCTAAGGATCAAAGCTGAAAGATTTGTTTTGCTGTAGAAAGCAGTGAACTGTTCCAACTGAGAAATGGTTACGGCTCAGTAAATATAAAGACAGCCCTGGTGGGAGTTCTTTTGGACAGTATCTACAATCTTCGTTTAAAATCAGCGAATAAAACAAATTCACCGCGCTTCTCTTCATTGGAATCTCGATGTTTTCAACCAAAACTGCACACGAATGAACAGAAGCGTGGCCCTCACATTCCTGCATGTTGATCTGCTGTCTATTGCTTGTTGTTTCCCACATTCTACACGGAAGTTGTCTAAAAAAATTGTGAAAACTCATGAACTACGAAGAATATGAACCGATCTCATAACACAAGTTAATGGAAATGTAATCCCTAGGAAATTTCGATCAAAGAAAAGCCCAAATCTCACATAAGGGTTGCTACGTGAACATGTAACTCTTAACAGAGCAACATACTCTCCATTGTTTAAACATAAAGCACAGCATTCGCTGCAAGGCTAAAATAACTAACCTGCCTGAATGAAAGTACTAGCGAGTAACAGTAGCAATAGTTTCTTAACGGCCATTCTATGACCTGAATGGAGTGACAGTTTCCTTTTCTCAAACGTGCATCAGTTGATCTCAGATGTTCCAAACGGGAAATAACTGCTTCGCTTCACTGAATCCAGCAGAAAAGTGCTGATACAACAATATGCAAATTTGATTCCCACTTAGATCACTCAAAAGGAATTGTTCAATACAAAGCGTCAATTTACATTTATTTAATTTACAATTAACGATTTAAAGGAAATGAAATAAGCTAAAATGTTTAGTCATTTCAAAACAGCGTAATCTGAAACATTAGTGAGTTGCAAGTGACCATTGTTTAGCTCTTATTAACCGAGCTTAGTCGGTCTGTGAGTACAGACCGAACGCAGTGAGGTAAAGATTCTCCCATACAGACCGACTAAGCTCGGTTAATAAGAATGATGTTTATTGTATGGCAAACAAGAACAATTTAATTCGTTTAATGTAACTGGTTTGTAGGTAACTGACATTTCGCTTGCGAGCGGCGATGAGCTGAACTTAATTCTGACAAAGTTTGCTCGTCCTCTTTACTTTTTTCTCATCAGGCTTTTTGGCACTTCGATAAATAAACATTTTGAAAAGAGAATAAAAATCTCTCGAAAGTGGACGGCTTTTGTTGTTGTGTAGGAAAGGTTTTTGTAATGAGAGAAACCAAAATGAAAATGTTCAACAAACAGGGTAGTTCAAGCGAACGAACGAACAAATGAGCTAGCCGAGAGGGGATGGATGGATGGATGGATGGATGGATGGATAGAAGGATCGAATCTTTTATTTAAACATGGAGCTTTATCAAATTAAAACGTACAAGTTAAATTAAAATCCATACAATTCCTAATTACATGTACCACTAGTAATTACAACAAAGTAGATTGAAAAATAAGTAAACTTATTGAAACAATTACAACGAGGTGAAGCTAACTATTTAGTTGTTTATTTCGTTGATGCCGGTAGAAACGTTCGTCGTCATGCAACAGAAAACTGCAATTGCATCTATTGACAGCAAACTTTATTTTGACGAGACAAACTAACTTCCGAGTTAGGATTTCGAGTTGGATTTCGAGTTGGATTTTCGAGTTAGGATTTCGAGTCGGATTTTCGAGTTAGGATTTCGAGTTGGATTTTCGAGGGAGGATTTCAAGGTGGATTTTCGAGTAACGATGTAGAGTCGGTCTTTTCGAGATGGTGACCAGTAATCCAGCTGCAACGAATCGGCTAGTTTGTTCGTAAACCGTCTCGTAGATTTCCAGTCCAATGCAGCCAACAAAAGAAATCTTGCAGGGGTGGGGTTAATGTTTTGCCTTTTTATTGTGCGTAAACGGCTACGTTTGAATCATGTGGTGTCAGAACGACCAAAAGGAGGAATAAACCTTTACATCGAGCTCGAGAAACATAAGCTCGGTCAGATAGCTGCAAGAAACAAAAGAATGTTTCTGGAGAAACGTATAGCTTTCTCGAAGTAAACCTACTGCGTCTCAGAAGAAAAACGTACAAGGACAAATAATATAATATCCGTGATAAGAATCTACCCACCATACTTGTAAACAGTTTTAATCACAGCCGGCCCGGCGTCACAATATAGAGTGCAAGTAAGCAAAATTTTCACGGTAAATTTCATATTTTGTCCCTCGAAAGCAAACACTTGGAGACTTAAAAACATGCCTTGCAATACAAATGAGCCTAAAAAAGGCATAAACACATGGCAAATTACAGGGGTGTCAAACATGGAGATAAGAGCCGAAATCATGCAGACCTATGACCTCTAAAACCTTTGCTATAGCACAGTCTTACGGCTCAACTCTACTTAAAATTCCTCCTTATAACACAACATGAAGTGCCCTTCATAAACACGAGTGAAGCAACAAAAAGGTCGAGTGACCGAACAGAGAACGGCAAATGTACAAATGTCACGAACCGTAGAAGTCGTGTAGGCTTGTCAGCCCCATTTTACACTGATGTCACTGATTAACCATCGAGTGCCTATAAATCTAGAAAAAGTGCCGTCAAAGAGACACAAAATAACGAGGTCGAGCTTCAACGAATAAGGATCGAAAAGTACATTACGCCATTGGCTAACTCTATCTTGACCAATAGGAGTCGTGTTTGACCTGTCAACCATTTAAATCATCAAACCACTAAAAATTTATTGGAAATGCTGCCAAAAAAATCCTCCCAAAAAATCCTAACTTGAAGGTCCAACTCGAAAATCCTCACTCGAAAATCCAACTCGAAATCCAACTCGAAATCCAACTCGAAATCCTAAGTCGGTAAATAGGCAACCTCTATTTTGACAGCTGCTTGATTTGTGTACTTAACTGTAATGATTATTCATGTCTTTACATCTTTCTTCGCAGTTCAAATATGATCTTGCATATATTCACTGGCAGACTATCCAGTCTTATAGCGCTATCGATCATCGGTTCATTGCACACACGTTACGTTACTACAAGAGGTCTGTTTCAGTTTCAGGCAAAGCATCTGGCATTATTTATGAAAGTGAATACTGGATAGGTCCTTCGGCAGAATTGAGAATTCATCACCATCTTTTTGTTTCAGTACAACACAATAGTTGTGTCGTTGATTGTTTTTGTTTCTTCATAATCATACTTAGACTTTTGTTTTGACATTCTTGACTTAACGGCTTCAATAATGGGTCTAATCAAGTGGTTGAGATCGAGAGTGCGCAGGAAGTTTGACTTTGCCACCTCATTTTGTTGCTCTTTCTGTAGCCCTTTCCTTGGTACTAATTTTTTATTCCACCTCTCAATCAGTTTTCAAAGGGTTAATGCTCCTCTCTTGCACTAAGAATTGGAATTTGAGACAAGTACTATTAAAGACTTCATTCATCTGACTTTATATTAGTCTTCCTTATTGTCTTATTTAGCTACCCTTCCATCACAGGAACAAGCCACTGATAATCAACACTTTGGGCCAAATTTGATACATTAACATCCTCACTCATCTTTTTGCCTTAGGGGAATAAAACAAACCTGATCCTTTGGTTACCGGTCATTTGATTAGCCCCTAGCCAGTTAGCCCCCAACTAGTCGATTGCCCCTTTCTCATGCTTAAAGAACGAGAAATATACAGTTTTTTTTTTTTATTTCTGGTTGGGGGCTTATCAACTTCTGGTTGGGGTTTAAATGGTTAGGGGCTAATAGACTTGGG